TCGCCGATACCTGCAAAGCGCTGGAATTGCTTCAGCGCAAAATCCTCCGACACCCAAGTCAGTATCCGGCCATAAAGAGAGAGAGAGTTGAGAGCAATAAATGTAGTAGTGAAAAATAAAATGAGAGCTTCCCTTTGGTTCTAGCATTTAACGTATATATAGCATTTAATTGTACGGATTGCCTTCTTACTTGGACATCTGTCGGCCTAGTGTAGGCCGGTCGATACTGGGATACAGGGGTCGATACTAGGTTCACCTCACTGCTACTTTGCGGTCCGCCTGAGTGGGTTGACACCCCCTCAACCCGTTCGACCGTGCACATCGACACTCGACCGACCCTTAACGGCCCTTAATATCGGCCAAGGGTAGATGTGTTCTACCCTCCAGTCCATAGGTCTATGTGTTCTACCCTTCGAGCCATGGGTCTATGTGTTCTACCCTTTGGGCCATGGGTCTATGTATTCTACCCTCCGGGCCAAAGGTACATGTGTTCGACCTTATGAGCCGGTCAATTCTCCGGCCCTCTTTGACCCTGGCTCAATTCTATGGTCCCTTCGACCCCGATTCTATGGGTCCTTATCCAGTTGAGTCGAGTCGGTATTAATGTCCATATCAACTACTCCCCCTATTTACGAGTATGCGAGACGAAGCTCGGATATTTGTAAATACAAACATTCGGGTGATGATAAATACATATATTCAGCTCTCAATGTTACGTCTTGTTACGTCTTTCTCGTAATTTACTATTGTCGGTCGCCACATGATTACCGAGCGCAACCCGACCTGGCTTACCGAGCACATGGCGTATGATGACTTCGAGGGCCGAGGCTTGAGCCCAAGCCCCTTCGCCGGTCGACGTTGTGGTGGGGGGTCGACTCCTTGAGCCAATCGACGGGTCGATGCATGGTCGAGGGTCGACACCTTGGTCCGATCGACCCTTAGGTCCGGTCGACACTTGAGCGGGTCGATGCACGATCGATCGTCCTTCGATCGGTCTACGCTCGACCACTAGCCCATTAGGCCATTAGACCATTAGATCAGTAGACCAGTAGACCATTAGACCAGTAGACCAATAGACCATTAGACTAGTAGACCAATAGACCGTTATGTAAAGCCTTATAGCCGAGTAGGCCATTAGGCTTGCTTGGCCTCCATCTCACGGGTCTTTGTCCAGTTAGACCGAGTTGGTATTATAATCCCTATCAACTACTCCCCCCTATTTACGAGTGTACGGATATTATTCCCGTGGAATCGTAAATACCCGGTCTTTTCAAGTGTACGGATTACGTATCAGTGGATTTAGCTTGCGTGTCGGATCTCATCCTTAGTGCTTGAGGCGTTGAAGCTTGACCCCCGCGCTCGAGGTGTCGAAATGCGTGGTGTTCGACCAGCGTGGTGTCGACCTGCGTGGTGTCAACTTTCGTGGTGTTCGACCCGCGTGGTGTCGACCTGCGTTTCTACCAGCGTGGTATTTGACCGGCGTAGTGTTCGACCTGTGTGGTATTTGACCGGTGTAGTGTTCGACCTACGTGGTGTCGACCTTCGTGGTGTTCGACCCGCGTGGTCTTTGATGTTGTGTGTTCGACATATGGTCCTTCGAGATTTCGATCTTCTTGCCCATGATGTGCTTCTTACTTCGGGTTACAACCCTCACCTTGTAAGGATCTATCCCCGATTCAAGGGTGTTGTAAGGATCGATACCCGGTGTCTAGGTAAGAGGTCGATACCTAGTGTGTTCGATCCCGAGCGTGATGCTAGGTGTGAGGTCGGCACTTGGTGTGGTTCGATCCCAATTCAAGTCATGCCTTGGTTGGCTCGATTCATGAGGCTTTATCCCATGTCACGATGCTAAATAACAAGTTAATTTTTTCTCCTCATAAAGTTCGAAAACAATTATACACTAATATATACGACAGACAGATGAAGATAACTGATAAAATGCGAAACAACTATGTGACATACAGACGAAAATAATTGATAAACTGCTAAAACCGTTATGCGATCAATTATGCAACAAGCAGACGAACATAATTGATAAAGTGCGAAACAACTATATGATAAACTATGCGACACGTTGATGATGATTGATAAAGTGCGAAATAATTATGCGGTACACTATGCGACAAACAGGCGAACATAATTGATAAAGTGCGAAACAATTATGTGATAAACTATGTGACTGACAAACAGAAAATAATTAATAAAGTACGAAATAGTTATGAGATAAACTATGCGACAAACATGCGGACATAATTTATAAAGTGCAAAACAATTATGCAATACAATATGCGACTTATAAACGAAGATAATTGATGTGAAAAGCTATGCGACAGACCGAAAATAATTGATAAAGTGTGAAATAGTCATGCAATAGACTATGTGACAAACAGACGAACATATTTGATAAAGTACGAAAGAATGATGCGACAAATATGCGAAGATAATTGATGCGAAAAGCAATGCGACAGACAAACGAAAATAATTGATAAAGTGCGAAAATATTATGCGACATAGAGGTGAAGTTGATAAATATTAAAATTCAATTAAAATTTAATACCAAATGAGGGCCACTTGTCCATCACACAGCCAACTTTTCGTGAGTGGCAATAACTTGGGCAACCCACAACTAAAACTTTCTACTTTTAATAAATATGTTGCCTAATTATACTTCCTCCTATTCATAATAAGTGTCGTTTTGGAAAGTTGCACACTAATTAAAAATAATTTTTTTGCCAATAACAACCCTCATTAATGAAGATAGAGATGGGTGTTTTAAAAAAAAGATGAAGAGAATATGAAAAGACGTAGTGTATTTATTAACTAAATGAGGGTAATAATGGAAAAATATGTATAAAAGATCCAAAACGACATTTATTTTGGTTAATAGTTGATAAAGCCAAAATGACATTTAAAAAGAATAGGAGGTAATAGTAGATAGATATGCATTCACCTTATTTAATATGCTTATAGTTACTAAATTTTTATATTAAATAATCAAGTACCTCATAAATATATGTAGGAAAAATAAGTAAAGAGAAAAAAAATATATAAAAGTGTCAATATAAAATTCACATTATAATTAAGTTTATATTTTTCTTAGCAAACAAAAAAAACCTATATAAAGAAGTTAACAATATTTGAATATAAAAATGTGTACTAATTATTATTCCTATAATACGATTGAAATATAATAAGTTGATGAGTAAAACATTATAAATTTAAAATCATAAAAATTTAATATTTAATTAGTTTTGAAATAAATTAGTCAGTACAGATACATTACTTAATCACTAAAGTGGTAAATGCTCTAATATAAAAGAGTTATAAAGTTTCAAAAAAGAAATAAGAACACACATTCATAGTAATTGATATATAAATTAAATACGAAAATAAAATGTAATGTATAATAATATAAAAAATTGAAACATAAAATAATTTATAGTAATATTTCAGACATTATCTATATATATAATTACTAACTAATTCATTTAATAAAACATTTAATAAACAATACCGCTACAGCCCCATCCATTTTCCACCGCATAAATTTACTCCCTCATGGGTCATTGACGTGTCAGTAGTTTTTCCTTATTATTCGACCAAGAAAGAAACAGAATTTTATTAAAGTTGTGTTAAAAAAAAATCAAAATTAAAAGGGTTTATGTAACCTAGCATTAACCCACTTCTACCATCTTATCTACCCGTAACCATTGTGCATCTTGGCACAACTTTCAGAGCTTTTTTTCTTTACTGTGCTATCTAGGTATGTTTATGGTACTTGTACTTGTATTATTTTATTACCAACTTTTTTACTCGTATATCTTTTATTATTATTTATTTTAGTTACAACTTTAGGATTTGCAATAGCTATACTGGAGCTTGAACTCTGAAATCCCTTTGTGCATTTGGAGACCTCTCAATTGCTTGCTCCATAAATATCAAAACACAAGTCTTCTACACATAAAAGGAAAGGGCAAGGGAACAAAAAAAAGGAAGCAACTTTTTTCTCCACACACTCTCAGATCAATAACCCAAAAGGACAAAATCTTGAAATCTGAATAACTCACAGTTGTTCCGAAGAAATCAGATATCTCGCACACCAAACATAGCGCAATAGAAAAAATCCGGGGAAAAATGGGATTATGAACGGAGAAGAAGGGAATTTGGCAGACGAAAAAATATTCGAAATAAGAACAAAAATAAGAGAAGACATACATCCCTAGGACAAGACAATTTGGGGAAAAAACGTGATATCTGAGCTGGGAAATCAGGGATTGCAGTCGACAAAAAAAAAATCGACGAAAAATCCAGGGAAGAAGGGGGACTACAAACGGAGAAGAACAGAAATTTGAGATGAAAATAGTAGGGAAGAAGTGATAAAAGAACAAAAGAAGAGGAGAGAGAGAGAATAGGAAAAACAATAATAAAAGTATTTTATCTTGGCCGAATAATGAGGAAAATATAGAATGACACGTCATGGAGTATTTCTCATGCAGTGGGAAAAGTACTGGGGAAGGAGCATTTTTGTTTAATAAAACTTATTTTCATTTTCTTTTAAAAAGAGTTACATTGTTTTTAATTAATTACTCACTAATCTGTTAAATCATTATACCTTTATATATATATATATATATATATATATATATATATANNANNANNNA